AAGGTTTCCTCCAGCTTTGAGATTCTATTACATGTACACTTACACCACCTGTGGGCAAAATTGGCTTAATGTTGAGAGAACACTAATCACCCACTGCATGCAGAATGTTTTGAGAGGTTTGCAGAGGCACTCAGACGGGGCAACATGGTCCTACCCTCAAGGAGGAGATTTGTTGAGACATAAAAAAATACATAATGCTTAGATATCATAGGTAGTGATGTTTAGATTCTATCAAATAAAAGGCAGGCAATTTCAAGGAGCAGATAGACTTTAAGGAGGGAGTGTTTGGAGCTGGAGAAGCAGTAGGTAGGGCAAAGAAATTTCGGGGAGGGAAATGGTCTCAACTGGGGTACAGAAGTTGTGTGAGAATGGTGTATGCAAGGAACCATCATAACTTAGTCTAGCTGGAGCTGAGGAGGCAAGGGATAAAATGGAGAAGCAAGTTGGGAGCAGTTACCTCTGGGAAGGGCAGTGTGCTAGGGGAAGAAGGTGACTATTCACTTTTGTGCCTATTTGCTTCTATATTGCTTGAATTTTTATGAGAACATACTCATAGAAAAGTTTTTTAATGTTGACAGTAGGATAGTGCCAAGTTTAGGAGACTTGAAATGTCAGGCCAAAGAACTGAGATTTTATTCTCTGGAATGTTGCAAGTTTTCTTTTTCTAATCAGGTGATGATGAATTGAATGTGGCATATTGTAAGATAAATGCGGTTAACAGTGTATTAGGTGGAGAATTGAGAGGCAAAATAGCAGTTATTGAGTTAGTGCAAAATTCAGGTACAAGGTACAACAGTATTAGTCCAGAGTGGAGGCAAAGATAATGGAGGAGCGGGATGGATTTGGAGGCTAAACCAAAGAAAGATGACTAAATATGAAAAGTTGAGCAGAGGGAGGAGTCAGGGTTGATTCAGGAGTGAGCCTCAGTCATTCAAAGTTTCATTAGACCACTGATGGAAACAGAGAAGTCATAAGAGAAAACCAATTCTGCTACCTGGGTAGAAATGGCCAGTGAAACATTAGAGTTGTGGTGCCTAGAGCTTGCACGGATGGGGACTTAGGAGTCGTCATCAGAGAAATAGAGCTGGAGTTTTAGAGTAGGTAAGTTCTCCATGCTTGAGAGCAGGGAAGGAAGTGTGTCCTGATTGTCCCCTACCCAGTTTAATGTTCTTGCCCCTGCACCATCGCAAGTGCAAGTGGGGCCTGATGGGGCAATCAAAGCTCTGTGACAGCCAAGAAGAGGTAGAGTCTTCAGATATCTGAGGGCAAAGGGGTAATGGCGGTTGAGGCTTGAGAAGGGTGTCTGGCTCAACTCCACCTAACTCCTCACTGAAACCTAAAGTTGGTGCATTTGAAGACAGTGTAGGAAAGAGTATGCGAGAGAACTAGTGAAAAACTGGAGTAATTAGGGTTATTTAGCTTGAAGAAAAGGAATGTTTGAAGGCCCGAATCCACAGTGAGAGGTCCTAGAAGATTTGGTAGGCTTAAAATATAGTAGTGCTGAGTCAGATTAGACATGCAGCACAGGTCCTAATAAGTACTTTATCCCAGGTAGAGAAGGACTGGCTTCCCCCTCCCTTCAAAACAGAGTGTACAACAAGCTCCACTTCCTTCAGCCTGGGATTAGGAGCTCTTCTATTAAGAAGAAGGTGGTTGAATCAAGGGATCTCTTATAGACTGCGAGAAGTTCCTGAAGAAATGACAAGAGTCCTTCTCAAGATCACCAAATCCCACCATAGGTCTGCACAGCTCCCTGAGAATCTCAGAGCAACGTGGGAGTGGATTTGGGTGCCTGGTGCACCACCAGGTCTTTCCCTTACACACATCCCACCCACCCTCCTACCCATATCCCCACTTCCCTCACCTGTAGCCTCCCTATTCCCTCACTGACCAAGTACAGTCTGACGCTTCCTGGAACTCTGGCCTAATTTCCTCAATGCTTCCGTTGGTCATCATATGTCTCTTTCCTGATGAAAAGGGCAGTCTGACCGGATGGGCAGAGCACCAGCCATGGAGAGTGTTCAGGGCCCTGGAGTCTAGTGTTATCTCTTCACCTATCTCACTTGGTGATACTGAGGGGGATACTTTCTTCCTCTAAACCCAGCTTTCCTCCTGTGGTAGGGAATGCAGCAGGATTAGGTGATTTAGAGCTCTAGTCCTACCCAAAGGTCTGTAACCTGTCCTAGAAGACTGTGCTCTCGTCCTTGCATACATTTTATTTTCCCCCAACCCAAACATTTTTATCTGGGCCCCGGGTCACTGTCTTTTGTGATCAATGATTATGAGTAGTTTGTGACCTGGGGCTGGAAATTTGTCTGTCTTTCTCTGGATCCTGTTTTTCCTTCCTCTATCCTCTAAAGTAAACACCCCTCCTTCGACATTCCTTTTGAAACTTTGACCTTTAGTATAGACCATAGTGGGTAGCCTTTTTCTTTGAGTATCCCCTAGAGAACCAGGATTCCGCCCTCCCAAGTCAGCAGGAGCCAGGCTATCTGCTTTATCATTCTAAGGAAGCCCTTTGCAAGTCAAAAGTTAGATCTCTTCATTCTGGAGAAGGCCTGAGAAATGTGAGTCTTCTACTTGCAGAAGAGGGAGGAAGAGGACACCTTTCACTACATATGAATGGTAGTCATTCTACAAAGCTGTCAGGACGTTAAGAATGTCACCAGAGGTCCCTGGGCTTCCAGTGTGTAAGGGGTGTAAAGAAAGAGTATGGATTTTTGTGGTAGCAGGCCTGAATTCAAACCCACGTCCTTGTGTTTAACTTTAGGTTGGGTGCTTAACTTCTCTGAACCACTGTTTCCTTGGTAGTAAGGGGAGAATAATTGTAACTCTTTAATTGGATTGTTCTTCGTTTTTTTTTTGAGGAAGATTGGCCCTCAGCTAACTACTGCCAATCCTCCTCTTTTTGCTGAGGAAGACTGGCCCTGAGCTGACATCCTGTGCCCATCTTCCTCTACTTTCCATCTGGGACGCCTACCACAGCATGGCGTGCCAAGTGGTGCCATGTCCGCACTCAGGATCCGAACCAGCAAACCCCAGACTGCCGAGAAGTGGAACGTACGCACTTAACTGCTGTGCCACAGGGCCGGCCCCAAATTGGATTGGTTTGAGGATTGAAGGAGATAATATATATCAAGCACCTGACGCTTCGTAGGTGTTCAGTTCCTTCCTTTCTACCCTCACTTTTATGATCACCTACCATCCAGCGCTGAGGAGAATGGCAGGGGACCATAGGAGACTCTAGGAACAGGCCTCAGGGTTTTCTCAGGAGTCCCTAATTCTACCCATGGCTAAGGTCAGCTGGGAAGGAGGAGGAGAAGGAAGAGGAGGAGAAAAAGCTTTGCAGAGGTGTGGCAAGCATAAGGATATTTTCCTTTTTAATCTAGGCTGAGAAAATACAGGCGTCTCTTCTCCCAGCCATGTGCAGCAGTGCGTGGATTCACTGAACTGTGGGAACAGACTCAGGGACAGATTTCCCTCATTGAGCTGATTCCTTTTTCTGCAGGTTTTCAAGATCCACCATTAGACTGTGGCCAATCTGCCTGTCTTGGTCCCTGAACCTACTGAACATGAGGGTTTTACTGTTCTGTCACCTTAATGATAGCCCGCTTGTTAAGGATAAGCCAAAAGGGAAGGGGTGTAGGGTTGTAACTAATGAATCTGAATGACACTGTAATGCCTTGGAATGAATCCCTGACAGGAAGGTGATGGATGTAGAGAAACCTGAATTCCTTTCGTTTCTGGTGCTGGGTCCATGTGGGAAGATTGGTTGATGTGACTGATTGCCATGAGGGTAAGATGAATGAGGGTGGAAGAGGTTCGGAAGGAGTGGGACCATGATCTTTTTGGGGAAATAGGTAAACTTTCACGGAATTCCCAACTGCTCCACGTTTCATTAGTGAAAACCTCAGATATAAACCCAAAGAAAACACAAGGCATGTTCTCTTTGAATGACTGTTTGAACAGGGCGGCGAGGATGGTTTTATTTCTGAAAATCTCACCTAAGATTATTTGGGAATGTCAGCAAGGTCCTGGGGAAAATATCAAAGCATCGGGTACCTGGGTTCTTTGGATGGAGATTCGGTTAGGAATGAAGGGAGAAAATCTAGTTTTTTCTTTTTCCTAGCACAGTGTCACAACTCAGGTTTCATGATACTTTAGCATCTATGTTTATTGAGGGTTTAACCTCAAGACCAGATAATTTTATGTGCTTTTATCCCTGAGCCCCAGGGAAATAATCTTTTCTTTTGGTTTCCTATTTCTTCACCACAATTTTTGTGCTTAGTGTCTCTTCCATTCTCCCTTCCACCACCACCACCACCACCACACAGCCACACACACACACACACACACACACACTCTTCCTTTCTCTGTCACTAACTGTAGTGTTTTTTTTTTTTACCTTCCTTAGAAGGAGACAGGTAAAGAAAATCTCCCATTTCCTTGACGTAGACTGCATTTTTATGGATATCTCCTTGTCTCTGGTCTCTGGCATCTGTGACAGTTTTAAATGCACCAGAAATAACAGAGACCAGAGCGGACTTTCAAGGCACCTGCTTATGGTTTCTTTTGAGATGCCAACTTACTTAACGAACATTCCACCTTCCTTTTCACTCAAAAAAAAAAAAAAAAAGGATTGGTTATTTCCTGTCGACATTTTAAAAAATAACTTACTATTAAGTTATTATTTTTATGACAAAAAATTTATTGTAGACAAATGTAAAAATACATAAAAACACTATAAGGAAAACAAACCACTCTATTTTGATATTACATAATAGCAAATATTTTCATATTTTTTAAAACAAAATTGGGTTCATGTTGAACATGCTGTTTTTTTGTTTTTTTTTTAAGATTTTATTTTTTTCCTTTTTCTCCCCAAAGCCCCCCGGTACATAGTTGTGTATTCTTCGTTGTGGGTTCTTCTAGTTGTGGCATGTGGGACGCTGCCTCAGCGTGGTCTGATGAGCAGTGCCATGTCCGCGCCCAGGATTCGAACTAACGAAACACTGGGCCGCCTGCAGCGAAGCGCGCGAACTTAACCACTCGGCCACGGGGCCAGCCCCTGAACATGCTGTTTTGCAACTAACTTTATTCACTTAATTGTATCATGCATGTTTTTCATGTTACTAAATATTTCTCTGGAATATTATTTTGATGGCTAATATTTCATTGTGGGGTCACGATTTAACTAGTTGCCCTACTAGTGAACATTTAAATTGTTTTATAATTTAAAATATTAAATGGAGAGTGTTTCACCACTCTTGGTTATCAGTCATTTTACTTGTTTATTTAACATAGCTGAAATACCTCCTCCCTGCAGGGTACTTGGCCTTTGCGGAGAGAGGAGACTCCCAAGGCTGAGATGCTCAGATTTAGGAGACCAGTGATTGAGCCCCCAGGGCTCTCTTTATGGGAAACTACTCCTCTCCCAAAGATTACCAATGGAAGATGTAGAAATGCAAACGAGGAAGGTAGAATCCACAACTTTCCTAGTCTCTTGCCCTGGGGCCCAGGTCCTCCGAGTACAGACACCCCAGGAAGCCCAAGTTAAGAGAGTAAACACTCTTTGAATAAGGTTCAAGTTCAAAGGGCTTCCTTGTTCCTCAAGTTACATTAAAATAACACCTTCTAAATCTAGGAGTCTGAATTGGTTTCCTATTGGCCAGTTCCTGGGTCTTAATTTTATTAACTGTCAAACAATGATCTCAAGGGAGTTGGATATTTCCAGTTTCTCCCTTAGCCTTGTGCATAATTGGGATATAGAAGCAGGGTTTCCCATTCCCTTTCTGATCCCAAGCTTTCCAAAGACAGAAATAAAAGGTCTCAGCTGGATATATATTCTAGAAGTATTTATTGCAAAATCAAGTTGAGTTCCCAATCTGGGAAAATAAAACAGAGTCATTTTCCAGCTCTTTGGGGGAAAATCCCTCTTGGGGGTCCTTGTTTGGGTAAGTTGTAGTCACCTGTCCACTTACTGTGACCGTTCCTTCTCCCTAGCTCCAGAGATGGTTTCTGAGCTGGAAGAGTCCTCAGGTTATGTTAGGTCCTGGTTTCCCCAAGGTTGGGTGGGGAGAACTTTTCAAAAGTGCATACTCAAGTGAAAAACCCAACACCCTGAAAACTTTCCATTAGGCAGGTATGTGTCTCTGCCCTACTGATCTGCATGAACTTGCAGGTGGTCTTTCCGGAGCTAGCCAGAGTAGGAGAATGTTGCTCCTTCACGAGTTTGGACAGAACTCTTTGATTTTTTCCATTCCCTCTGATTCTCAGCACAGCTGGGTTGGACGTGGTCTGAAACTTACAGGGACAAGTACTTTGAGGGTCCTTCTGGATGTGGACCCCAAACCAAACTCCCCCTTTAGCAAGCTGCAAAAGTACAGGCACAAAGACCAGGATGAAACTTGTAGGAAAGATGAAACGGGATCTGCCCAAGTTAGGAGGCCCAGGTTCCAATTTCAGCTCTGTCAAGAATATGCTGTAGAATCTTGGGCCTCTGTTTCCCCATGTATATAGCACATATCAAGAGGACTACAGACCAACATTGTGATTTTCCAATCTACTCTCTCGGAAAGAGAAGCTGTGTCCCCCTCCATTGTCATGCAACTGAGCAAGTGAGTTTGTGTGGGGTGTTATCTGGTGCTGCCCTTGCCCCAGGACACAGCACTGCCTGGGGAGCGTGTACAGTAGTACTTGTTCACCACATGCCTACACTGGTCACACTTCACTGTGCAGCACCACTGGAATTTGCAGTTACAGCTGCTGATAGCTTCAGTCTTCCTCTCTTCCACCTGCAGGCCACATTCGGTGCACAAGCGCCCACAGCTGTGTTGCTCCCACCTGGATGTGTTGTGGCTATTCTGCAGACACTCCCGACCCTCTGTGCCATAGATGCCCAGGCTAGAATTGTGGGTACAGTAATCTGGCGATTCCTCTAAAAAGATCAGTTCAGCCTCTGCGCTTGGGAGGAAGGCCTCAGTGGGTGCCCAGTGGCCCTCGGCGCTGTTCCCAGCCCTTAGCTGCCGTTTATCCATCTCAATTTTCAGCGCCCGGTCATACTTGGCCTTTAGGTAGTCTCCCATCTCCCGGAAGTCAGCCAGCTGCAACCAGCATGTCTGGATGCTGCAGCTCCCCGAGATGCCGTGACATTTGCAGGTCCTTTTCATGGTGGCTCTCACTGCCTTCAGAGAGAGAGAGAGAGAGAGAGAGAGAGAGGGAGCAAAAGAGAGAATGGCTGTGAGTAGGGAAGACTATAAGTGGGATACTTTAGAGCCGTGCTTCTTGACTTTGGAGGAGCATCAGAATTACCAGGGAGACCAGTGAATAGTATTTATTCCCGGGCCCTACCTCACATCTTCTCAATTAGAATGTCCAGGGCTTTAAAGGCCTTGGTATTGGTGATTTTAAAGCTCCCCTGAGTGATTCTCGTGGAAAGCCAGGCAAGTATTGGGGAGGTTACTGGAGTCGGGAAATCTAGGCTCCAGACCCAGCATCATCAGTTGTTGAGCTTGTTTCTCTCTCTGCCCAATTAGAATAAGAATAATCAAGAAAGTACTTTGTAAATTAAACAGGAAAATATGATCATTGGCACTGTTATTGTCTTTTTTGTTTGTTTGAGGAAGATTAGCCTTGAGCTAACTACTGCCAATCCTCCTCTTTTTTGCTGAGGAAGACTGGCCCTGAGCTAACATCCTGTGCCCATCTTCCTCTACTTTCTATGTGGGACGCCTACCACAGCATGGCGTGCCAAGTGGTGCCATGTCCGCACCCGGGATCCGAACCTGCGAATCCGGGCCACCAAAGCAGGACGTGCGCACTTAACTGCTGCGCCACCGGGCCAGCCCTGGCACTGTTATTGTCTTAAAGCTTGGGGCTACAGTATTTCTGGGGGTTTGGATTTGTCTTCTGGGCCCTCTCCCAGAGGGAAGGAAGCTCCTGGAGTCTGCACCCCTACCCTCAAGGTGATTACCTGTGATTGTAATTGTCTTGAAAACCTTTCCCCTTGCCCTGGGCGACCAGGACATCTAGGTATAGATTGAAAGGGAAATTTCTATGCTGTAGCTCTAAATCCAACTTGCTTCCAGATTTGAGTTCAGAACACTCTAGGGATTGCTACCCCACCAGAAGTCCTGGGGGAGAATAGACCCTCTAGAGAACAGGTTGGATGACAAACCCCTGTTAGTTTCCTAGAGCATGCAGTTGAAATGGTTAAAAATTTAAGTCTTGGAAGCAAGGCCTTGGTTCTATATTTTCAGAAACCTGCCTGTGGAAGAAACCAGAACATAAGGTTTAGTGATAAGAGGACTAGACTAGAAGATCCGAGTTCTTTGCCTAACTCTGATGATTATTAGTCGTATTGCCTTGGCCAAGCCACTTGGCTTGGCCTTAACTGGCTTTGTTATCCAAGGAATGGGGGTAGCTATTGCAGTACTGCTGGGGGGTGTGAGGATGAAACATAGGTATAAGACAGCTCTTGGTAAGTTGTGAAGGGCTGTACAGATGTGAGGCTGTTGCCAATACTGAGCCGGACGGCTCACTGTCTGACTCCTATACCTACCAGCCTGCCCGCCCTGTTGTTGTGAAGATTCATCAGGGCTCTGGCATCCTTTCCCTTCTCCAGGCTGTCCACAAAGAGTTTGGAGATCCTTTCCCCAAATTCCACATTGTCACTGCAGCCCCCCCAGATCCAGCCATGGCCTCCTACACAGAAAGAAAAAGTTCTGCATATAGCTCCTTGCTGGAGAAGAGTCATGGTCATCTTGGCTGACACAGCCAAACCACCCCCAAAGTCCTAGAAACATGTGAAGCTATAGCTGAAGGTGAGACAGGGAAATCGAGGTGCTCCAGGTGGATGGGGGGAGTCCTGCTCCCAAAGCCAAATGCCCACTCTTCAAGCACTCTCCAGCTTTAGGCAATTAGTTTCTATACCCACAGTAAAAGTAGTTGCACTGGGGCTGCCCTAGATGACCTCAAAGGTTCATCACAGCTCAACCATTCTGGAATTCTGCACCATTATCCTACAAGAGTCTTGTTAGAGCCTCCTCTTCTCTCATTAGTGACAAATCTGAGTAAGTCTCTTAGGTTGTCTGCAAATAATTGAGTAGCTCTGGATTATGGACAAGCTACTCTAAGCCTGAAGTACAAACTTTAAACTCTCTATGGCCTCGTCATTCTGGATGCCTTGTTAGTTTAGAGCTTGGTGCTACTAGCTAATCCTGGAATCACGGACCAGGCTTCACCATCGAGAAAGTCTAGGTCCAGGAGCTCCCACCAAGGAAGCTGCTGCTGCAGTCTAGGGGTTTGAGGGAGCTGCAGCTGTGTCCCTTGGCCTTTCTCTGGAAGAGTTTAGCCTGCACTCAGTTCTGCACCCCTCACTTCTTCCCCTCAGCAGACAGCCCAACTTACCTGTTTTTCCATTTTTTGACTCATCACAGCCACAGTTTTCAAAGTCACCCATGCTACAGTTCTTGGTGATGGTGTACATGACTCCAGCAGAGCTGATAGCATGAATGAAGGAAGTCTCCCTGGTGGCTTTGGAGAGAAAGAAGGGACTGGAAACTTGGTCCCTGATGACCCAAAGCAGAGGCTTTGGAAAAGCAATGCCTCTTCTCTTCCTTGTCCCCTATCCCTTTTGGGTTTAAAAGGACGCTCTTCTACTTGAGAGAACAGTGCATGTCTCCTCACTTCATATTTAGTTCATCCAGGCAGGAATGAGCGCCACATGCTACAGATTGGGAAGGTAAAACCCAGCGATAGAGTGATAAGACCAAGGCCACTCTCCTCACCAGTTGTGGTGTTGGGACAAGGACCCTGCTCTCTTGAAGTCCAGCCTAGGCCTCTGTCCATTAGCCACTGCTTCTGGTCCTTGGCCAATGAGGACTAAGGGCCATCAGGCTGGCTTATGAAAGTGAGAAGCACCTTTTCTTTCTGTCATGAAGCTGGAGACATGTAATAATCATAATGATCATGGCTACCAATTACAGAGCTTGTGACTTACTAAACTGCTTATAAACACCGTCCCATTTCATTTCCACACACTACTCATTCTATCTGTATACCCGTGGGAAGTATTTCTTTGTGTCCCCATCTTCTTTACTTCCTTACCCCCAACTCTTCTCAGGGAACTTAATTGTTTCTACATAAATGACTTTTATGCAAACTACTACAGACAAACAGCTGCACACACACAAACACACACACACACGCCCCCACCTGAGGCACAGCACACTGTGATCTCTCAGCTTCTCTGTTGGGGTTCTATGCCAGTTGGGCAGATGAGAAACTCCTTCAGAGACTGCAAACACAGAGCCCTTTCCCCATCTTTATTTCTTGTAAATCAGTGCAAGATAAGGGTGTACAAACACATGAATACAGGGATGCATTAAAAAAATAATTTTTTTTTTGAGGAAGATTAGCCCTGAGCTAACATCTGCTGCCAATCTTCCTTTTTGCTGAGGAAGACTGGCCCTGAGCTAACATCCATGCCCATCTTCCTCTACTTTATATGTGGGACTCCTACCACAGCATGGCTTGGCAAGTGGTGCCATGTCTGTACCCGGGATCTAAACTGACGAACTCCGAGCCACTGAAGCAGAATGTGTACACTTAACCGCTGTGCCACCGGGCTGGCCGCCCAAAAATAGAGTAATTTTTACATATGTATAGACTTACCTTAGTATTCATCTCATTCAACCATTACAATACTCCTGGTGAGCTAAAGAGAGCTGGGCTTATTGTCCCAAATGACGAAACTGGGGTTGAGAGAGGGGAAGTAACTCACTCAACGTCACACAGCAAGGAAGTGACAAGTCAGCAGATCACTGATAGCTTTTTCATTTCACTGTGCACACATATGTCACACATATGTCATACATACACCTATACTCAAGCCCACCTCCATGCACAATATCCCCTTATACAGATGCACAAACTTACCACTTCTCAGCCTGTTGTGAGTGGACAGCTGGAGAGCATTTTCGGGGCAGTTCCAGCGTTCCCAAGCAAATTGGAACTTGCATTCCTCGATGCCGCTCTGGGCACCCAGGGCCACACTGGTAGTGTAGGTCAGATAGGCCTGGCAAAGGGAAAAGGGCTATGAGCTTCAGGCCCGGCTTAGGTCAGGGTGTCAGGGGTTGGGGGAGCAGGCAGGACTCAAATGGGTTAGCTGTCCATTAAAGAACAATCATGAGTTCCTTTGGGTGGGCGACTTCTGGCAACGTCTCCCCTTCCCTCTTTTCCTTTCCCAAAAGAATTCCCTTAGGACCCAGATGGATTAAAAACAGGAGCCAGAGACCATCCTACCTTGGGACCTGTTATCAGGAAATTGTTCACTGACCTACCAGAAAGAGAAAAAGTGAGGCAATGGTGAATGGGGATGAGATAACGGGAGCTTCCTTGACAGAGAGTGAGGGGTGGCAGAAAGGACTTACCAGGCAGAGGCACTGAAGGTAGCATAGCATATGCCCACAGCCACCCTTAGCATAAACAGGTCCCCCATGACCCTGCCCACCCACAGGAGATGGGGTCCAGCTCAGGGCCAAGTCCAGATAAGAAGTGAGAGGAAGGCAGGGTCTTTCTCAGTATTTACGTGGGGAAATTCTGAATGGCCAAGGGGGAAAAATCAACAGCTCTTCTCATTTGTCCCTTAGTGGCAGGGCTGCAGGAGCCAGTGACCCAATGGGGGACCAGGAAGGAGGGACTCAGCCCAAAGCTTCAAGGAAAGCCCCGCCCAACTCTGCCCCGCCCCGCCTGCCCTTCCTCCCTCCCAGGCTGACAGAGGGGCTGAAGCCTTTCCCTACTCTCGAGGTTTCTTTCTTCTGTATTTCAGACTTTTGTCTCTTCCTGCTTGAGGGCTCATTTCTCAGAATCTTGTAGCCTGGAACAGGTGCGGTTCCCGACCTTGAAGGTAAGTCACCTATCCCTCAGAGCACAGTGTCTGCATCTGTCACTGAGAACCCACTCCTTGCCCTGCCTTCCTCCCCAAGGTGTTAATAATTATGGAGGGGCTCTACTGGGGGCCTCCTCCTACTCATTTACCCAAGTAAGTGAGTGCACCATTCCTACCTCCTCCTTTGGTGACTGTAAACTCATGGAATCTTGGGACCATGGAGCAGAAACGCTTCTGAGGCCATCTCTGCAACAGTCCTTTCTACCACATTCTAACCAAGTAAGTTCTGGTAAATTTCCTTCGTTCCTAGTAGGTCTATAATTTTGTATTTGAGGGTTAGATCTCTAGTTTGTTAACTCTTGTAGACTTGTATCTGTGAGAATCAACCTTTGGGCCACCAAGGGCTATACTTGAAAAAACTGATGCCTTTCTTTCAGACACCACGTCGTTGCTAGGACATCACTCCTTAGGTAGGAATCTGTCTTTAGATTCACTTTGTATTCTTAGTGCGTAAGAAGATTACTGGATGAATGAGCAAATGAACGAATGAACAAGTTAATGAAAGAACTTGTGGCCCCTAGTAGGGACCCAAGACAACATTAGGTAGGGTTAGGGACTATGGTGGAGGGATAGAAATCTTCCTCTGCTGGTGAAGCTCTTTCCCAGGGCTGGGGAAGGCAGGCTAGAGTCAGAGGAAGGTACAAACAGGAAGTCACAGCCCTGACTCATTGCCCTGTGACCATCCACATCCAGATCACTTCCCAGCACTCTGGCCCTGATTTGGTTGAGAAAGGGAGTTCAGACATCCCCCACCACAGGAGTTCCAGGGGTCAAGAAGTCCCAGGCCTTTTTAGGGCAGTACATCGAAAGTATGGGCCAGGTTTGGTGTTGGTCTGCAAAGTGTCATCTTTCTATGACAAGATAAGTACAGAAATGGAAGTATTTAGAAATTTTTACAGCAATTTGACAGAGTGATTTTAGATATGTCAAATCTAATGAGAAATTTGGGCTCCTATTTTGTATGTCTTTGTTTCTGTTTCATTTTTGTAGGAGGATGGGTGTGAATGTTGCAAATGTAAAACGTCCTTAGTGGACTAAAGCTCTGCCTCTCAGACCAGCCAGTTCTCCTTTGCTTGCTTGTGGGCTTCTCTCCTTGGGGAAAAGAGGTGTCCAGACTTGAGTCACTTGGGAAAAGCGCATTGCATGTGCCTCAGTGGTCTTTTCTCTGTGTCCTATTTTTCCCAGTCAAGAATCTAATGTTTAACTTTCGCTTCTTAAAAGTGAAAAAGCAGGGTTGATTTCCATGGCACTGGCTGTGGGGTCAGAACAGGGTTAGTGTTAGACCCAAGGTAGTCCCCCCACGCACCTTGAGCCTTAAGTGTGACTCTCCATTCACCTCCTGTCTATGATGAGTGGATCTTATTCTTCTGTGTTCCCGTGGCACCTGGCATTTAGTTGGTACTCTATAAAAATATTCTTTACTTTCTAGGAAGCAGAGGGGAAGGTAGTGAGCTTTTTGTGTGCAAACTTGGGGCTCGCTGGTGCTCCGATTCTCTAACGATCATACAGTTTCTTTAACAGGAATTTAGAATGTTAAGGAAAGGCCTCTGCTCCAGGTAGTAGGAGCCCTGGGCTTTGGCCATGAATTTGTTGTAAGCTTACCTTGGGTAAGCAATTTCCTACCACAGGGACTCAGTTTCTTCATCTGTAAAATGAGGGAGTGGGGAAAACGTGGAACATTGAATGACCTCTAAAGACTTTTCCAGCTCTCTTATATGCTAGAATCCTATTTTTAAGATTTAAAGAATTTATTAATCCCAGAGGTGATTGTAGGCTGGAAATGAGGAAGTCTCATCTTATTTATCTTTGAATTCTTCAGTTGGCCATCAGGGTAGACTGTAAGATGGATACCTGGAGGGCAACAAACACCTTCTTCAGAGTCCTTTGGGGCTCTGTCTACATAACACCCCGGTGCTCGATTGACCAAAGTCCTTCAATCTGGAAAGAGGGTCCCCTGGAAGGAGAGAAGAGCCAGAGACAGGCACTCCATATCGGAGTCTACAAATCATTTGCAGGCAATCTGTGCATCATTTCCTTAACCCCAGCTCTATTCTCTCTTTAGTATTTAAGTGATGATTCAACTCTTGGTTTCTCTCTTCCAGGAATGGAAATCTGGAACTGAAGACCAGAGCAGAAGATGACAGCGGAGACACAGTGGGCCTATGACAAGACAGAATAGTAGTGTCTCTGAACCTGCAGTAGTGTGGTAGTAGGTGTTTAACAACTAGCTTTGGTGTGACAGGAGCTATGATTGGTAATATTTGCTGATTTCCATGGTGTAAATACTCCCATCATGGCCGATTTCAAATTACCAACATGGACTTGAGAAGAGCTAGCACATCATTATATAATATTTCTATCATATAGATATAACAGATGTAAATAGCCTTCAGAGTCTAGATAATAGTAAAATGTAGTAAAATATTTAGGAAGTGATGAATTTTGAGCAGTTATTGTCTTTGTTTTTAATATAATTTATTTAATTGTAAGTTTATATAATTTAATTTTTAATAATGGCTGTGTTTAACAACCAGTTTGCCAAATTCCTGAAAATTTAACAGTCAGCCCTCTGAGCTGGGATAAGCTGCCTCTCAGCACACCGTCAGAGCCCTGTGTCCTCCCTCTAGGCCACTGGGAGATACAATGCAAGAGATTTCTCTGTGGAGTTTAACACCAAATATTTGTTTGTTCTGGTTATGTGCAAAACTTTTTTTTTTGTCTTCTTCTCCTTCTTCTTCTCCCCAAAGCCCCCCAGTGCATAGTTGTGTATTCTAGTTGTAGGTCCCTCTGGTTGTGCTATGTGGGACGCCGCCTCAGCATGGCCTGATGAGCAGTGCCATGTGCACACCCAGGATCCCAACCGGCAAAACCCTGGGCCGTGGAAGCAGAGTGCACGAACTTAACCACTCAGCCACGGGCTGGCCCTGTGCAAGGCTTTAACCCTTGCTAAGCCATAGTTCTTGCTACCTGCCCTCAAGGAGCTTATCATCTGGTAAACAGGAGACAAAGTGTATATCTAGCTATATAGGCAGAAAGTGGTAAGTGGAATACAATGAATAAATGCACGTACCTCTGGAAAGGGGTTCATCAAGCTAGGAAGGAGGTAGGACCAGATAATCCTGAAGGCTCCTTCCACCTCTGATGTTCCAGTATGTTGAGATTCCAGGAGTCCTAGGGAAGCATTGGTGGCTATACTCAAGGAGGAATAAATAAGCCAGAGTCACCCTTGCAATGTCCAGCTTCAGGAAATCTAGAGGCCATTCATAGAACCACAGAGTGTCTGAGCTAGAGGTCCGATTTTACACGGAGGTAACTGAGGCACAGAGAGAGGGGACTTACTTAGGGTTACATAGTGAGTTGGGGCCAAGAAAGCTTGGATCCTACCATCCTGGTTTGTCCAGGACTGAGGGGTTTCCTGCGGTGTTGGGACTTTCAGTGCTTAAACCTTGGGCAAAGCTGGATGGTTAGCTACCCTGTGATGATGATGGTATGCATCCCAGGCTAACGCTTCTTTCCAAATGTGCACTTTCACTAAAATCCCCAAATCCCTGGTTCCTCCACATTTCTTTTCCAACTCTTTCCAGGGCACTGAGCCTACAGGGGCTGTTTAGATTGTGGAGCAAGTTGGGGAGGGGATGCTGTGGGAGGGTGGGGTGAGGGTGGAGGTGGCCGGAGAATGCCAGAAGCCAGATAGGACTTCTGACTTTTTACACTCCTCTGCTAATTAGATAAGGGGGTGGGGAAGGGGGACAATGAGGCTCTATGCATATTCCTCTGAGCTGTGACACTGAGCAGAGCTCAGGGATTTTCAGTCTCTGGTCTCCACCCCTCCTCCCTGGAAGCTTGTCTCTTCCCACCCCCTGGGGATACTTGACTCCCCGTCCAAATGCCACAGCTGCTTGAGCTCCTGACCCTCCCTTTGGCCCCCCAATTTAGCCTCGATGACTTGCAAAGTTCCTCAACATATGCTCAGGGAAGGAAGAGGAGATTTAGTTTTCCCTTTCAGATCCAGTGTTCCAGGTGTGGGGACGAAAATAGGAGGTCCTCCTGCGTGGAAAATAGGAGCAGTTGGTGGTCTGTTGAACACATGGGTCTATGAGGGCTGGGGTAGGTTAGAGGGGATAAATCTGCAAGGCGTGACTAGATCTGTTTCCTGTTTGAAGGTGTGTTTCCTTCATCAATCTGCAAGCCCCCTAGAGCTGGGCTTTGTCAATCCCAACCACACGGGGATCTCTCCAAGGATAGCATGTGTCTCCCGTCAGACTGAGGTGCCCAGACGGCAGAAGCTATATCTTCAGCATTAGCCTAGGAAGGTTTGGGGGGGGGGGGCAGGGCTCATCCAAGGGGAGATTTCAGATAGCTAAAACTCCTTTATTATATTTTTTTATTCTCTCACTGTTCTAAACTCCCACCTTTGGACACTGGATAGGACACAGAAGTTCCCAAGTAATGTTTATTGATTGTTGGGGAATAAAATATTGGGATGATTGTGTGATTTGTATTAGTTTTCAGAGGAATTTGTGTGCATTCATCCATTTATTCATTCTAAAAATATTTACCTACTTTTTTCAGGCCAATACTCAACACTTAGGGGTCTGAGATGAATTAGCCTTAGTTGATGTTTTTATCCTGCAGGAGCTCTCAGTCTGATCCTAGAGAGATAAGCTTAAACAATTTATAACAATACAGTGAGATAAAGTACTCTGTGAAAAGGTTGGAGGGGGAGTGAGGGTAATGAGGAAGTGCCATAAAGGAGGACTTCTGATAGAGACCTGCCATCTGGTGGCAGTGAGTGGTATAACAGGCTCTTTGTTGCTCTGATGCAGGATTCAGCGCAGCAATTTCAGCCTTTGCTGAGCACACGCCTAATGGGTAATCAGCCCAGTGTTTGGCGCTGTGGTGCATATATAATAAAGCTCCCATGATGAGCTTTGTCCTTGAAAACTCGCAGGGTGCTTGTGGACATAAGGCATAATTGAGAAAGTTATCAACCAAACAAGTATTTGATGTGCACACATGAACAAATGTGCTTTAAAAAAAAGTATTGTGGGGCTGGCCCTGTAGCCGAGTGGTTAAGTTCATGCGCTCCGCTGCAGGCGGCCCAGTGTTTCGTTGGTTCGAATCCTGGGCGCGGACATGGCACTGCTCGTCAAGCTGTGCTGAGGCAGCATCCCACATGCCACAACTAGAAGGACCCACAACGAAGAATATACAACTATGTACCGGGGAGCTTTGGGGAGAAAAAGGAAAAAATAAAATCTTAAAAAAAAAAGTATTGTGATTCAGGCTTGTTACCAAGAGAATTAAATAGAGAATTAAATAAAATGGAAATATGTAATGTAAAAGACGAGACTCTCCCCCATCTCACTCCCTGTAGGTAACCATTGTGAACAGTTTAGCGTGCATTGTTTTCTCTGCACATACAAATGTTATATATACACATATAATTTTTTTTTTTGAGGAATATTAGCCCTGAGCTAACTGCTGCCAATCCTCCTCTTTTTACTGAGGGAGACTGGCCCTGAGCTAACATCCGTGCCCATCTTCCTTAACTTTATACGTGGGACGCCTACCACAGTATGGCTTGCCAAACCGTGCCATGTCCACACCCGGGATCCAAACCGGCGAACCCTGGGCCACTGAGAAGTGGAACATGCAAACTTAACCGCTGCGCCACCGGGCCGGCCCCTATATATATATATATATTTTAAAAAAATAGAATTGTGCTGTTATTCCTCAATTTGGTTTTTAAACTTTTATATCATGGACCCCTTTCTGTGACACTACATATCCATCTACCTTGTTTTCTCTTAATTTTTAAATTAAATCAAAATTAAGCATGCTCATAAGAGCTAATAGTTCTGTAAGCTTTGTTATGGAAAGCAGCAGCCCTCTTCAACTATACCCCCATTTTCCTCTCAAAAAGGAGCAACTTTCAGTTTTTGTATCTGATGCTGTTAGCATTACCTCCATATTTCTTCATATTTCTAAAAGACCTATTTGATTCCTGTTTATTGGTTTTTCAATTTTAGGTATTATCTGTTGACTTTCCACCATGGATGATGCCTCTCTTTTCTTTCCCCACGCACCAAACACAAATCCATCTTTTTCATCTTCCCATCTCCCAATATAGTTAAATTATAATTTTACTTAGGTTAATATTCAGTGTTTTCATTATGATCGCCTAAATACTATTTAGAGGTGTAAACCAGGCTTACTTTTCTTTCCCAACAAGTCTTTTTGTTTTCCTTGGAACAAATAATTATCTTTTCTTTTGTCGTTTGCTTAGTTTTCTACGTAGTTATCACCGCTTCAACCCCAAACTCTGCCGATTATCTGAAGCACCTCTCACACCATTTAGGCCTCAGATCTGCTCCAATCTGGCCTCGTTTCTGCCCTACGTCCTGCACAGCTGTCATCTTAGTATTGTCTTTCAGCACCAGGATGGGGGTTCACTTCGATTCCTTACTTTGTTGCACATCAACTTCTTAAATTTTGTCTTTGTTTATTCCCTTATTTTGGTGGGTAATATATTTCAGTAGCTTTCTCAGAAAGGGTGCAGAGGAAGCAAACTTTTTGAGACCTTTCATGGCTGAAAAACCTTTATTCTACCCTCACTTGATTGATACTTAACATTTTTTAAAAATTAACATTTTGGTAGGGTATAGAATTGGAGGTTGGGAATAATCTTCCCCCAGAGTGTTGAGGTCATTGTTCCAAAGTCTTCTGGTTTCCACTGCTGCTGCTGAGAAGTCTTGTGCCATGTTGAGGGCTGGTCTTTTGTAGATTATCTCTTCTTTCCCCCACCACCCTTGGCAGCTTTCAGAAACTTTTTTTATCCCTAGCATACTGAAATTTGAAAAAGATGTGGCTTTGGTGTAGAATTTTTTCATCTCTTGTCTTTAGTACATGGATTCTTTCCGTCTATAAATATATGTCTTTTTGTTCTGGTAAACTTTCTTGTATTCTTTCCCTTCATTTTCTACATTCTCTTTTTCTACAATTATTTTTCTGTGTATGGAGGGGAGTATCAGACCTTCTGGATGGATTCTCTCATTTTATCTCTTCCTGTTTCCTGTTTTCCATCTTTTTTTTTCTATTTTCTAAGAGAATTCCTCAACTTTATCTTCTAAACTTTTTATTAAATTCTTTTTATTTCTGCCTCAAATGTTTAATACCTAAGAGTTTTCTCTTATTCTTGGAATATTTCTTTTTTTTAAAATATAATCTTCTGTTCTTGTTTCATGATGGCAATTTTATGTTCTAACTTTCTGAAGATACAATTTTTCTTTTTTTAAAAAAATTTTTTTTCTTTTTTTTGAAGATTGGCACCTGAGCTAACACTTGTTGCCAATCTTCTTTTTTTATTTTCTTCTTCTTCTTCTCCCTGAAGCCCCCCAAGCACATAGTTGCATATTAAAGTTGTAGGGCCTTCTGGTTGTGCTGTGTGGGACGAGCAGTGCCATGTCTGTGCCCAGGAGCTGAACCTGTGAAACCCTGTGCCGCCGAAGTGGAGCACACAAATTTAACCACTCAGCCATGGGGCTGGCCCCCAAAGATACAATTTTTTTTAAAGATTTCTTTTGTTTCTTCTTTCAAGTTCTTTCATACCCCCCATAACATTAGAGCCGTCCCTCAAAAGTCTGGTGATGCTAGGCCATCCATTCATACTTAATAATGAGGGACTAAAAAGCTGACAGGAAGCCCTGTGCACCCGGATGGGGCTCACTCTAGAGTGATAAGGCAGGCCCCCAGCCAGCTCACTGGGGGAACCGCAAACAATTGGTATCTTTAAGGCTTTGCTGTAGGGCTGGTCAGTATTTCCAGAGAGAAGTCGTCCAGTCTCCTGTCAGAATTCTGGGAATCACACGGGGAAGGGGGTTATGAGCTCTCACTATTCCGACTTCTTTCAGATCTCCTTCTTGGTTGTGTCTGGCCTCCCCGAACCTAGAATCTCTCTGATTCAGCTACTAAAGAGAACATCTGCAGTCTTCTGCTGGATGGGGGAGGGAATACGGGACTCTAATCTGCTTCCTAAATCAAACATTTAACCTATCTAACACCACGCCTTCAGGGGAACTAGGCATGTTCAACTTCTGAGCCTCTGTAGGGTTCCGTGGCAGAAGCTTCTTGGCTTCCCCTATGTGGGCACTCAGCTTTTGGTTTCTCAAGACTTAGATACAGTTGCTTTCCACCTTTCCAAATTTTGTTTTTCATCTGCTATTGGCTCCTCTTTTGTTCCCTTTGACTTTGGAGTTTCATGCCTTAAGAAAATCCCTGTGTTGTTTTGTGAGGGAGGGGAAATAAATGCATGTATTCAATCTGCAGTGTTTCACTAGAATACATATATTCATTATGTCAGAGTTCTTAAAATTAGAATTTAAAATGGGGAATGGAAAGGCACCTGGGATGATTTGAGTAAGACCAATTTTGGTCACTGCGTAGCAGTGCCCATCTTCCAGCAGGTGACTTCATGTCTCCCTGCCCAACCCAGGAAACAGAACCAAAGAAAAATTAGGACAGGGACCAGCCCTGTAGTGTGGTGGTTAAGTTCATGAGCTCTGCTTTGGCAGTCTGGGGTTCACTGGTTCAGGTCCCAGGCACAGACCTATGCACCACTCATCAAGCTATGCTGTGGTGGTGTCCCACATACAAAATCGAGGAGGACTGGCACAGATGTTAACTCAGTGACAATCTTCCTCAAGCAAAAAGAGGAAAAATGGCAACAGATGTTAGCTCAGGGCCAATCCTCCTCACCAAAAAAACTAAAAATAAAATAACCAAAAAATAAAAAAAAATCAGGACATGGGGGCTGGCCCCTTGGCCAAGTGGTTAAATTTTCATGTTCCACTTTGGTGGCCCAGGGTTTTGCCAGTTCGGATCCTGGGCGTGGACGTGGCACTGCTCATCAAGCCAGGCTGAGGCGGCATCCCACATGCCACAACTAAAAGGACCCACAACTAAAAATATACAACTATGTCCCTGGGGGCTTTGGGGAGAAAAAGGAAAAATTAAGTCTTTGAAAAAAAAATCAGGATAGTAAAGCGAGCATTCTTAAATACTTGGAATTTTTTAAAAAACAGAGGGGTAGATTTAGTTTTTTAGTATTAACAACACTATAGTGAAGAATGTTTGTTTCTAAATGTTTACCAACTTCTTTAACTATCACTAAAGAATAAAGTCTTAGAAAAGAAATTTTTACGCTAGAAACCTCCTTCAATAGAAATCAAAAGGGAGTCCACACGTTTGGAATTAGTCTGCTCCTTTGCAGGCTGCCATCTGCGGATGTCAAGATGATGGCCATATTCTCAGAATGAGACTGCTCCTGTGCCTGACTCAAAGCCTCTTCTTAAGAGGGAGCCCCTGTGCTTGGGGAAGACTATTCCTCCACATAACTTTCTGCTTCCATCAGCAGGAGTCAAGTGGGAGCCCTAGAACCGTCCATGCTTCTGGCAAGATCGCACACCCCTCTCCCATTAATGAATCCTCTTTGCAAAGATCCGCCTTGGCATCATCAAGAATAAGTTCACTATGCCCCTTATTCTTGCCATGTCAATCGCTACAAGAAACCCAAGAATCCTCATCCCTAGACTGTGACTCCTATTATGCTCTGTATATCTTCTTTTCTGGCTCTAACTCCTTCCCCACCCTATCTCCTAAAACCAATTCACTGAATTCTCTAGATTTTGCAAGCAGTCATCAGCATATTTCTCCTTCACCTCAACCTCTTCTGATGTTCCCTTCTCTTTCTTGCTTTAACCGAACTCTCGCTCAGTACGGAGGGCATTGTTCCTCAAAAATAACTGTTTTTCTCCTACACCTCTTGTGCCACTCAAGTCCTCTTTGCTACTCACTGACACTTCTAAACTAATCTTCCTCTCTCCTCCATAAAAACACTCAGTTGCGTATCAGGTGTTGTTCAAGTTTACCACTCATTTCTCTTCCTTGTTGTATTATCCTCTGTACTTCTCCACCTCCAATCTATTGAAGATTTTAGATCCTGGCTCACTGTCAGTCTGTATTAGTTATCTATTTCAGTGTAACAAATTACCCCCAAAACTAGTGGCTTAAAGCAACAAACACTTACCATCTCATAGTATCTGTGGGTCAAGAGTCTGAATGCAGTTTAGTTGAGTGCTTCTGGTGCAAGGTCTTGTAGGACTGCTTCATAACATGGCAGCTGGCTTCCCCAAGGTGAGTGATCGAATGAGAGTGAGAGAGTGTGCACTTAAGACAGAAGCCACAGTCTTTTTGTAACCTAATCCCAGAAGTGACATCCCATCATTTTTTTCTGTGTTTTATTTGTTAGAAGTGAGTCCATAAGTCCAGCTTCACTCAGTGGGAGAGATTACACAAGAGTGTGGATACCAGGAGGCAGGGATCATTGGGGACCACCTTAGAGGCTGCCTACTACACCCTGTTCTCTGGCTCCCTAATGACTCCCATCCCTCCAACATGCAAAATATACTTTCCTCCCAACAGATGTGTGAAGCATACCGTCAATCTCATTAAAGGGACTTTGGTGACTGAATAGTACTCTGAAGCACCTCCTTTAATCTTTCTGAGGTTTTAACAAAAGGTATAACAGTCCTCAGCTTTATCTTTAAACTACATTTTCCTCTCAATGTCCTGGACTTAATCTTTTCTCAGAAGCCAATTCTTAATTTTAGCATTACTTGCTAAAATGAAGCTAAAATGAGAGAGGCTGAGAATTTTCAAAACCATCAAGTCCTTGCTCCTTTTTGTTTAACAGTCCTTTCTTTAGTTTATCTCTCTCCTCTCACATTTACTAAGCAGAATGAACAAACTAGCTAGCATCTTCAACACTTTGCTTGGAAATCTCCTTGGCTAGATCACCCAGTTCATTAGTCACATTTTCTACTTTCCACATATATGAAAATAGTGTTGCTAAAATTCCTGCCCCTACATAACAAGTACCCCTTTTCCTTGAGTTTCCAAAATATTTTTCTTACTTTCCTGTAAGCCTTACCAGCAGCCTCCTCAGAGTCCAAAATCCTATGAAGTGTCTTCAAGGCTCTTTAAACTTTTTTTTTTTTTTTTTTTTAAGGCTCTTTAAACTTTTGAAGCCAGGTACTTGAGGGTAAGTAAATATTCAATGAAATTACTTTTCAACCTTGTTCCCAACACAAACGTAGATGAAAAGAAGTTAATCTTGTCTATTTGCTGTTTTCTTGTTTAACTTGAAGGGTGACTCAAGGGTCACAAGGATTTATGAACTTGTTTTGCAGAAGAAAAAGAATGCCTTCAAGGAAGTTATGATCACCAGATGTCACCAGCTGCTGCTGACACCCAAAAGTCAGATTGCCCAGGGGCTTATTGGGAGTGAAAGAAACACAGATTACCCCTTTGCTCCTCTGAAACTCCTGCTGCCAAGCCCCTTAGCTCTATAGAATACCCTGCTTTCTTCTCTTGTGAAGGCAGATTTGAGAGACTCTATCTTCCTGCCTTCTCTTTTGGCCAATTTGAATAAACCTTTCTCCATCTCCAAGCAGATGCCTCAGTGATTGGCTTACTGTGTATAGGGCACACACTTGAGGTTAAGAGGTTCAGTATCACATTCACTAAAACTCTTCTCAAAGTCACCGTTTTCTTTCAAAGCAACAATCACATTTTAAGTTATTTTTTACTGTACCTCACTTCCAGGTTCCAAAATCTGTATTAGTTTTCTATTGCCACATGGCAAATTACCCCAATACTTAGTGGCTTAAAACAATAGATATTTATTATAGCACGGTTTCTGTGAGTCAGGAATCTGTGTATGCCTTAGTTGGGCACTTCTGGCTCAAGGTATCTCAGGAGATTGTAGTCAGGCTTTGGCGGAGGCTGGAGTCTCATCTGTAGATTTGACTAGGGTGAGGATGAGGGAATCCACTTCCAAGCTCACTCACATTGTTGGCAGCCTCAATTCTCACCAAGTGAGTCTCTCTACAGGGCTGCCTCATGACATGCAGTTGGCTTTCCCCAGGGTAAGTGACCCAAGAGAGAATGACAGCACCTAAGAGAGAAGCCACGGAGTTTTTATAACCTGATATGAATATGACATCCCATCATTTCCACTGTATTCTATTTGTTATAAATGAGTCAATAAGTTCAGCCCATACTCAGCTGGAGGGAATTACATAGAACATGAATAGCAGGAGGTGAGAATCATTGGGGCCATTTTAGAGACTAGCAACATACTTTTGCTCCATTTTCTTGGTGATTTCAATATTCATATAGATGATCCTTTCAATTCCCTGGCCTCTCAGTTCCTTGGTCTCCTTTCTTTTGATGACTTTTTCTACCACCCTCCCTTAGCCACTCCCTTTCCAAAATCATACCTTAGACTTTGTCATTACCAACAAGCACACCTCTCCATGATTCCAATTTCATGTATTTCACTCTCCTTCTACCTCCTCACTTTCCAGCTTGCTTCCTCTAGTACCCAAACTCCATCAATCCTTCTGCTCCATGGGGACCTACCATTAATTGATCCTACCATTTCTCTCCTGCCCTGCACCCTCTCATGTCCTCACTTCCTTCCTTACTCAACTTAAATCAGATTGTCAATATATTTACTTCTTCGCATCCATCCTCAACTCTCTTACCTGGACTCAATTCTTGCCCTCACTTAATTCTCTGTAGTAAATGAAATCCAAATAAACATTGATTAAATCTGATTCTTTGCTTACTCCATTCCTGTAATTGCATAACTGAATTTGGCTGGAGAGAAACACATAACCACGTTGTTTGGTTTCACTTTACAATCATGACTGCTAATCTAAAGTGGTCTCTTAATGCTGCCCAGCAATCCTACTTTATTTCCTTAGTCCACTTATGTTCCCATTCTCTAGATGACTATTTCATAGCTTGCCTTTCTTCAAATCTCTAATTATTCCTCTCTTACTCTGATTCTCAATTGACTTGCTTCCTATTTTATTGAGAAAATAAAAACTATCAGAAGAGAACTTGCATGAGCCTCCATCACTACATATATCCACTTACCAGCATCTGTGCCCTAGATCTCTTCCGAGGCAATGGAGGGCTGTGCTTCGAAGTCAGTCAATCCACTGTACCTCAGCTCCCATCCCTGAATTCTCCTGTCTCTGTGGGATCCTTTCCACCAGCATATAAAAATAGGCTTTCCTCCATTAAAAAAATCATCTCTTGACCCTACTACTCTCTCCAACTACCACTCCATTTTTCTTCTTCTTTTTACAGCAAAATTCTGTGCAACAGTTCTCCCTGCTCACTGTCTCTAATTTTCTCTTTCCACTCTCTCTTAAGCCAGTTCAGTTAATCTTCCACTCTCACCATTCCTTTGAAACTACTCCAGATTACCAGTCATCTCCCACTTTGCCAAATCTAGGGTTAATTCTCAGTCCTCGTTTTATCTGATTTTGCAGCAGCTTTTGCCATAGAAGATCCGCTCTCCAACTTGTAACTGTTGATTCTTTCAGCTTCTAGGACTCCAGAGATACCTGGTTTTCCTTCTACCTCTGTGCTCATTCTGTCTCAGTCTCCTCTTCATTTCTCCAACCTATTAATACTGCAGTGTCCTGAAGCTTATTCTTCAGACATCATTTATTTTCTATCTATATTTATTTCCATATGGTGACTACTCCAAAATTATATGTTTAGTCAGATTTCATCTAAACTCCAGACTTGTATATCCAACTGCCTACTTGACATTCTTAAGTAAGGCCTAATCTAGTAGGCATTTCAAATGTAAGGTGTCCAAAACAGAGCTTTCCATTTTCTCCCTCCTTGCGCTCAGTCTGACCCTCTAACTAGTCATCCCATCTCAGTAAATGGCGACTCTATCCTTCAGTTGCTCAGGGCAAAAACCTTGAAGCAATTCTAGATTTCTCTTCCTCACACTCCACGTCTACTCTGAAAGCAAATCTTACCAACACTAACACACTAGATATCTTACATATTAATGTTGTTTATTTTATGTCTCCCCACCAGAATGTAAACTCCATGAAAACACGGAATTTTGTCTGTTTTATTCACTATTGTATTCCGAGGGCCCAGAATAGTGCCAGGCACATAGGAGACAGTCAATAAATATTTGTCAAGTAAATTTAAGAAGATACACATTCTTAAATTTTTTTAAAAGTCAAGTTTAGGGGACTGGCCCCGAGGCTGAGTGGTTAAGTTTGCTTCAGGGGCCCAGGGTTTCACCAGTTAGATCCTGGGTGCCGACATGGCACCACTCATTAGGCCATGCTGAGGTGGCATCCCACGTGCCACAACTAGGAGGACCCACAACTAAAATATACAACTATGTACTGGAGGGATTTGGGGAGAAAAAGCAGAAAAAAAAGTCAAGTTTAGTGAAGCATAACTTACATACAGTAAACTTTACCCTGTTTAAGTATACAGTTTGGAGTTTTGACAAATATATACAGTCATGAAGTCACCACTGCAATCAAGACACTGAACATTTCCGTTACCCCAAAAAGTTCTTTAGTGCTTTTTTGTAATCAACCCCCTTCCTCATCACAACCCCTGGCAACCTCTGATCTGATTTCTGTGTGTGTTGTATATACACATATAGATTTTAAGGCTTCATTTTTTTAGAGAAGTTTCAGGGTTGCAACAAAATTGAGAAGGAGGTACAGAGATTTACCATATACCGCGCCCCCCCCCCCCCCCCCCCCCCCCCCCCCCCCCGCCCCCCGGTCCCTACACAAGCTTAGCTTCTCCCATTATCAACATCACTCACCAGAATGGTACATTTTTACCTCCATTGACACATCATGATCACTCAGAGTCCACAGTTTACCTTAGGGTTCACTCTTGGTGTTGTACATTCTATGTATTTGGACAATGTATAATGATATGTACCCATCAATATAGTATCATACAGAGTATTTTCACTGGCCTAAAAATCCTCTGTGGTCTAAGGCGACACCACCCTGGATGCACCCAATCTCATCTGATCTCAGAAGCTGAGCAGGATCTGGCCTGGTTAGGACTTGGATGGAAGACTGCCTGGGAATACTGGGCACTGTAGGCTTTGAAAAAAAAAAAATCCTCTGTGCTCCACCTCTTTATCCCTCACCTGCTCCCCTTACCCCCCCTCAATCCCTGGCAACCCCTGATTTTTTACTCTCTCCATGGTTTCACCTTTTCCAGAATGTCACATAGTGGGAATCATACAGTATGTAGCCTTTTCAGATTGGCTTCTTTCACTTAGTAATATGCATTTAAGGTTCCTTCATGTCTTTCTGTGGCTTGATAGCTCCTTTCTTTTTAGCGCTGAATAATATTCCATTGTCTCGATGTGATACCCGAACATCTTAATGTCAAGTTCATGTGCCCCAAGTGCAGTAAGCCAATCACTGAGACATGTGCTTGGAGATGGAGAAAAGTTTATTCAAGTTGGCCAAAATGAGAAGGTGGAAGACAGATTCTGTCAAATCTGCCTTAACAAAAGAAGACAGTGGGGGTGGGAGTGTTTATAGAGCTAAGGGGCTTGGCAGGAGGAGTTTCAGAGAAACAAAGTGGGTAATCTGTGTTTCCTTCACTCCCAATAAGCCCCTGGGCTATCTGATTTATGGGGTCAAGGGCAGCTGGGGGCTGATTACCTGGTGATCCTTGAAGGCATTCTTTTTCTTCTATAAAACAAGCTCATAAATGCTTGTGACCCTTGATTCTCCCTTCAGATTAAAGAAGAAAACAGCAAATTGACAAGATTAACTTCTGTTCGTAACAAGGTCGAAGGTAATCTCACTGAATACTTACAGTAACTCTCGGGTCCCCAGGCTTCAGATGCGCCTCAGTTTATTCAGCCGTTCGCCCACTGAAGGACATCTTGGTTGCCTCAAGTTTTGGCAGTTATGAATGAAGCTGCTGGAAACATCTTCTGCAGGTTTTTGTGAGGACGTAAGTTTTCAGCTCCTTTGAGTAAATATCAAGGAATGAGATTGCTGGATCATATGGTAAGAGGATGTTTAGTTTCGTAAGAAACTGCCAAATTGTCTTCCAAAATAGCTATCCCATTTTGCATTCCCACCAGCAATTACGGGTGTTTCTATTGCTCCGCAACCTCACCAGCGTTTGGCATCGTGTTTCAGATTATGGCCGTTCTAGTAGATGTGTAGTGCTGTCTCTTTGTTGTTTTAATTTGCATTCCCCTGATGACACATGATGTGGAATATCTTTTCATGTGCTTATTTATCATCTGTATATCTTCTTTAATGAGGTGTCTATTAAGGTCTTTGGCCCATTTTTAAATTGGGTTGTTTTCTCATTGTTGAGTTTTAACAGTTTTGTGTATATTTTGGATAACAGTCCTTTATCAGATATGTCTTGCAAATGTTTTCTTCTAGGCCGTGGCTTGTCTCCTCACTCTCTTGATGTTATATATATATATATATATATTTTTTTTTTTTTTTAACCACAATTTAAAATAATAATATAGGAATTATTTGTTTCATGAAAGTTTGACAGAACTCACAAGTAAAACTCTCTGAACCTGGTGTCCTCTTTAAAACAGAGTTTTGAAAACTTTTAGTTTTTTCTATGGTAATTGATTTTCTACCTTTTCTTTGATTTTGGTAATTTATATATTCCTCAAAAACAATTGATTATACCATAAGTTAAATCAAAAGACAGATGAAAAATTTGGGGGAAAGATTTGCAATTCATATTACAGATAAAGGCTAATCTACCTAATATAGTGTGAGCCTCGAAACTGACAACAGATCACAACTCAGAAAAATTGACAAAGAACATGGATAGACCATTCATAGGCCGAGAAATAAAGCAGCCCTTCGACTTATGAATAGATGCTCAAGCTCAGTCATAATAAGAGAAATACAAGTAGAAACTACACTGAAGTATCATTTCTCACCTATTGGACTAGCAAAAATCCAAAAGTTTGATAACATGCTATGTTAGCATGGCTATGGAGAATCAGACAAAAAATGCCATAAACCCTGAGAAGGGGACTCTGGAGATATCTATGAATATTATAGTTGCATTTACCCTTTGAACCAGAATTCCACTTTTAGGAATCTATCTGCAGATACAACTTCACAAGTATGAAATGACACATGTACAAGATTATTCACTGGAGCACTGTTTATAATAGCAAAAGATAGAAACAACCCAGCAACAGGGAATGGGTAAAATAAACTATCCATGCAATGGTGTACTCTGCAGCCCTAGAAAAGTAATCAGGAATATCTCCTCTTTATGTGTTACGGAGAGATCCCCAGAATATGCTGCTAAGTGAAGGAAGCGAGGTGCAGAAGAGTGTGAAGAGTGTGCCCCTTTTCTATAAATACAGGGAGGAAGAAGAATATACGTTAATGTTTGTTCACATTCACATAAAGAAACATGGCAATAATACATAAGAAACCAATGAGGGGCTGGCCCGATGGCATAGTGGTTAAGTTGGTGTGCTCTGCTTCAGCGGCGGGGGGTTCACTGGTTCGGATACCGGGCACAGACCTAAACACAGCTCATCAAGCCGTGCTGAGGCAGTATCCCACATAGAAGCACTAGAAGGACTTACAACTAGGATATACAACTATGTACTGGGGTTTTGGGAAGGGGAAAAAAAGGAAGATTGGCAACAGATGTTAGCTCAGGGCCAACTTTGCTCACCAAAAAGCATACCTTAAAAAAAGAAAAGAAACTAATAAAAATGGTTTCCTCTAAGCTCAGAGATGAGGTAGAGAGGATATGGGTAGATGTGGACAAGATGGGAGCAAGACGTTTCAAATCTTTTAATATTGTTTTGATTTCAAATGTGAATTGTTGGGGCCGTGCCAGTGGCGCAGTGGTTAAGTTCGCATGTTCTGCTTCGGTGGTCCGGGGTTCGCTGGTTGGGATCATGGGTGCAAACGTGGCACCGCTTGGCACACCATGCTGTGGTAGGCGTCCCACATATAAAGTGAAGGAAGATGGGCACGGATGTTAGCTCAGGGCCAGTCTTCAGCAAAAATGGGAGGATGGCAGCAGTTAGCTCAGGGCTAATCTTCCTCAGAAAAAAAAAAAAAGACATCTTTTTTTAAAAAATTGAATTGTTACTCATTAAAAATCATTACAGTCTAATAAATATATTCATTAGCTTTTTAGAAAGTATTTTAAAGGGCTAAACAAATGTAAGTTAAGTACAGTGGGCTTGCTGCAATTCAGGATATAAAGAATGGTCCTTGCTCTCAGAAGAAATTTTCTATCTGGACAATAAAACAATACACATAAAACATTAAAAACATGACAATACTGAAATAAGGAGAGGGTCTGACAAATACTGAACAATGGATCTGACCCTAATTTCTGTGAGATTCATGGCAGGGAGTGATTTCAGTGGGCTCGGCCTTAGGGAGGAGGTGATATCGGCTGGGCTTTGAAGGACAAACGAACTGGGTAGAGAGGAGGGCACAGGTCACTTCAGGTACTCAAGTATAACCTTGTATATGGGAGATAATAAGCAGCCCTTCTGATATTTCTCAAAATACTTAGGAGTTGGGTTCAAAGTGAAGCAAGTTTTCAAAGACAAGAAGTCAGCCGTGCAAAGAGTGGGGAGAGAAGGCTCCCCAGGAGAGGAACCTCAGGGGCAAACGCTCTGAGATCTTAATGGAGTCCAGAAGAGAGAAGCTGAGAAAGGTGAGGGGAGCAGCAGGAGCCAGATCGCATGGGCCCTTAATTCTAGGTGCAATGGGAAGTCACTGCAGGGTTTTAAGTGTATGTTTGGGGGGAGAGGGGAATCTGGCTCACATTTTTAAAAGATCACTCTGCTATGTGGACAATTAATTGGGGTGGGGTGTGCAAGAAAGATTGAGAGATCTCTCTCAAGAAGAACTATGTTTTGGTACTTAATTTACTTTTCTTTCTATCTGTGATCCCCACCTCAATCTCAGCATTTTCCAGCCTATGTGACAGCCTATGTACCACCTGGGAAGTCAGGCTTTCATTTGGTGAAAAAGGTGACAGCAGCATAGCCCACTGAAATGCTTGGGTGGTAGCTGGAAATTTGGCTCAGGAGCTGAGGAGAAAGAACAGGATTCTGAAGGTCTAGATCTGGGAGTCTACTGTGGAGAGGAAATAGTTGAAGCTGTGAGACCATGAGGCATCA